TTTATTTTTATTATTATTATTATTTTTTATATTTTTGGACCACCTATCCACTGCTGCCAACATTGTCAGGAGCAACCTTCACCGGTCAATTGAGGAAAAAAAAAAAAAAAAAAAAAAAAAAAAAAAAAAGCCTCAGGAACAACCTTCACCGCTCAATTGGGGCTAAGACGAACATCACGAGGATGCATCTTCGGTGCTGTAGATATTTACCAAGCACCAGACTGATGATCTGTGTGCAAACCGCACCACAGGAACAACAATGGTGGGTCGACCAGGATCGTCTGGAGCTTGCCAGGAACAGATTGTTGATAGCCTGTAAACCAAGCCCCAAGCAGCAAGCAGGAACAATGATGGGTTGCATCGCATTGTCTGAAGGTCACCAGAACCAGATGGACACCGAAGCCCCCTGGAACTTGCTCAAGCTGAACCAGCCACAGGAAACAATGGACGATCGGTTGAACCGCCCACGGCGCTCCGAGCTTGGAAGGACAAGATTGCTGGTTTGTAAACCAAGCCGCAGGAACATCTGGAGTTTTGCTAGGACCCGATATACGAACCAGTAGGAACAATGTGGGTAGCCGTCAATTGTCCGGAGCTTGCCAGACCAGATGGATTTTCGACAGACAAGCCACAGAGAACTATGGTGGTGGGCTTGCTCGGACCACATTGCTGATCAGTAGACCAAGCAGCAGGAAGAGTGGTGGGTTGTGCGGGGACCATCTGGAGCTTGCCAGGACCAGATTCAACGAATGTACATTGCACACCAAGCAGCAAAAACACTGGTGGCATGGCCAGGGCAGCCGTAGAGCTTGCGAGGACCAGATTAATGGTCTGTAGCGTGCGCTGGAGGAACAATTGTGCACGGACCATGAACCACGACAAGGGGGGGTGGGGGGGTGGCACGACTAGATGGATGGTTTACCGACCAATTGGAAGGAAGAATGGTGGGTCATTCCAGTCTCAGATACTGAGGTGAGGCCGTGCTGGCTCAAAGAGGAGAGAGTACAGAAGCACCCCCAGAAAAGGGACCTACCTTGTGGCTATGGGGTTTGGCACTGAAATCATCGCAAAAAATGATAGGGCAGCGTAGGATGAGATGAGGACACCTGCGATAGACACAGTTTGCCCCACCCTAGTATGACTCTGCAACCGCACTACCGTCTTCACCCGAATAGAACGCCCGGTCATTATAGCGGTATTTGGTGCACCTGGCGGTCCAGGTGCAATGATAAAAACGGGACATTCTATTCGGGTGAAGACGGTAGGGGTTAGGAGCTTGGGTACTGCTCCCCCCCCGCACAGAGCAGAGTAGACTCAACCCCGAGGGGATAGGCTCAACCCATAACTATAAAGGTAGCTTAGTATTAGGCTATTAGCCAATAGATATGTTTGGGTAGTGGTAAGCAGTTCCCCGTGTTATCTGTTTGCCCCGGTCTTCCACATACGGTCTGTGGTCCATAAGAGGCTCCGGTTCAGATGACATAGATATGGGTAGGTAGCTAGTATGAGATGTATTGAAAGTAGAAAATAGGGTAGTAAAAAAATACAACTGCCCCCCATATGCTGACAAGAAAGCTCTATTTTTCTGTCAAAAAAAAAAAAAAAGAGACGCGGAATGAGAACGAGAGCCATACATCCCCTCTGATGGATGGAGGGAGACGACAAAGATATGTTCGCAGGGGTCCCCTGTATAAGCCTTAGGAGTAGCGGTAGGTAGGTAGGTAGTGAAAGGTGAATTGAAAGATTTTTTTTTGAAAGATGATGAAAGATTTGAGAGAAGCATAGTGTGCGAGGATTTAGATCCTCGGCAGTGTCTGAAAGGTGTCATGCCCACCCTAAGTGAAGGCGGGCCTGCAAATATGTGCCAATGCCTGTTTATAGGCCTATGAGACCAGGCTGAGGGGCCCAGGCAGAGCCTGTTGGAACCCCTATGTGGGCATGGATCTCCGACGAGGCCTTGCTACGAGTTTGCTCCTCAGCATGCATGCCCCTGTAGGGCCCTTTCAGCAAGCATAAGCCCACCCTAAGTGAAGGCGGGCCCCTGAATTTCAATATGGCCTGAGTTCCTCAATTTTGGCAAAGTTTGGTGGGCGCCAGACAGTTGCCATGCGCCAGTTGGTTACATCCTCCATACTCGTGAGAATCAGAAATAATTCATGAGCCTTCTAGGCTCTTCCAGCAGCACAGGCAAAGCAGGGAGAGCCTCACGTTTACTCCTGGGTGGTTGGGCATGCCTAACCAATTCGGTCCCGGCCACTGCCTGAATGGGCCTAGGCGCAGACACTTTGGCTCGATCGGAAGCTACTGGAAACACACGAGGCCCAGCCAGACAGCAAACTGGGCAAGCACTTTCCATAAAGGAAAGGGCTCGCCACTGGTGGAGGCATTCGGGCACTAGGCAGTGCATGCAGCAGCGCTGCTTGAGCATGCGCTCGCGGGCTGTGCGCTGTGCGGTAGCGCTAGTTGCCAGGCAGTGGGCGCAGGCGCGGGAAGAAAAGGGCGCTGCTGAGGGCAACGCCATAGCCAGCCCTACATAGCCAGGGCTTGGCTTGGACAGCCAGTGGAGGTGGTGGTGGTCTTCGTGCATGAGGGAGAAGATGTGGGAGGAAGACAAGGACAGGGAGAGAGTGGGAGAGATGAGGATGATGATGTGAGGGCGCATACCTGGTATTGGCGATGGTCTGCATTGGTCGACATCTTCAAGTACTTCGGTGGTTGCTGACGTCAACAGTTGCATTGTCAATTCGTAGGCAGGAAGTAGCTGTGTAGGGAGTAGCCTGGGCGCCGAGCGCCAAGTAGGGAGAGAGGGCCTGGATACGTATCTGGTGGGGACGAGAGTAAGCTCTCATTGACATTCGGTTTCAGTGTTTCGATTCTCCATTGGTGTAATATTGGTGCAATGCTGCTTTCTGGACACTGTGGGACTTTCTTGCTTTCAATGTGATTGTGCTATCTGGATTCTGTCATCTCGATATCTCTCATTTTCCTTGCNACCTCGTTTGTTGTCCTCTTCTCTCTCTCTGCCTACGGTTTACCGGGCAGTTCTATTTGTGACGATATATATATATCTTCTCTCTCTCTGCCTACGGTTTACCGGGCAGTTCTGTTTGTGACGATATATATATATCGTCAAATAGAACTGCCCGGTAAACCGTAGGCAGAGAGGGAGAAGAGGACAACAAATGAGGGGCTGTGAATATATATATATATATATATATATATATATATACTCTGATTTAGCCATCGATTAATTATTTAATTATTTTAAATCCGTCTATGCACTACGCTGCGGTAGGGCGGGAATTTTTCAAAGAAAACTATGTGATGCAGAAAAATACACTGAACAACTTTTGCCTCAGTGTCACATCGAGATTCTCTACCAAATTTAAGAAAAAAATAAAAATATATTTTTATTTTAGCTATTTTTGGCCTCGCCAGGCAAGTTGCCCCGGGCCACTCTGGTAACCTATATATTAGTTCATAGTTATGTGACAATATATATATCCGACGAAACAGTTTGTCACAGCCCCTCGTTTGTTGTCCTCTTCTCTCTCTCTGCCTACGGTTTACCGGGCAGTTCTGTTTGTGACGATATTGCTCGCATCGATACTCAATCTGGCAGGAGTTCTCCGACAAGGGCCATAGCTCATGGTCAATCATTATTAGTATTTATTACCCTTCCTCATCTGTATCGTTGCCAAAATAATCCTACCATATCCCCCACTAATCTCCATCTTCTCCCCATCCTTCACATATCCTAATCACCATCCTTACCATCATCATCCCTTTGCTCATCCTTGCCGTCATCATCCTCGACCGTGAATACTTTCTGTCATCCTTATCTTGATTGATATCCCCGTCAGCATCCTCACTATCACATGCTTGACACCATCCTCAACACCATCTTCATTTTCATCCTTGGCATCATCTTTCTGGTCATCTTCATCATCATCATCATCTTGATATTCATCCTTGTACCACTCGCAAATGGTCATCCCCATCATGTGTCTGTGAAACATATGTATTATGTATGTTATCTTTCACAGACGGTGCATTATTTTGAAAACACCATGCTTGACACCATCCTCAACACCATCTTCATTTTCATCCTTGTCATCATATTATGGTCATCTTCATCTTCATCTTCATCTTCATCTTCATCATCATCATCATCATCATCATCATATCATCGTTGTACCACACCACATGAATGGTCATTACCATCATGCGTCTGTGGTCATTGCGATCATGCGTCTGTCACTTTTCGGATAACCATGTCTGAAAGATTTGCTATCCTTCTTTCATCCATAGTATTGCATACATTCGTCGAAAGATTTGCTACCTTTCAATCAGAACCCTAATGTTGCCGAAGAATACAAAAAGATTGTCAAGTTGCCAGCGACACCTGGAGCTGCATGTCTGAAAGATTTGCAATCCTTCTTTCATGCATAGTATTGCATAAATACATTCATCGAAACATAGAGAGGTTCGCTGCTACTTACTAGAGACTACCCGTCTTCACCAGAATAGAACGCACGGTCATTATAGCCGTATTTGGTGCACTTGTCAGTCCAGATACAGCTATAATAACTGGGCGTTCTATTCGGGTGAAGATGGTAGTAGAGAGGTTCGAACTGTCACTCTCTAGAGCACAATTAGCTGTCATTCAAAGTCAGTCTAGCGATTCTGGTATTCTTACGATTCTGATCATTTTGGTATTCTACGATTCTGATCACTTTGGTATTCTACGATTCTAGCATTCTGTGATTCTAGTATTCTAGCATTCTGTGATTCTAGTATTCTTCCCAATTGGAATGTATTTTACCTGACCTGATTTACAGCAAAGCAGCCAGAAGCGTCCAATTGCACTGGAGTATAGAGACAAGGAGAGTTCACAAGGGGCGGATCACACAGGTCGCCCAATAGGAAGACACGTTGTAGCAGGGACTCCGTCATATGTTGTAACAGGATCTAGAGACTCTGCATATGAAGGGTAGAATACTAGAATCACAGAATGCTAGAATCGTAGAATACCCAAATCATAGAGTACCAATCTGCATATGAAACGTTCGAGTCCCGCTACTTCCCTTCACTGATTGTGCGCACCGACGCCACAATGCTCCGCATCCATATGGATCACACAGTTAGGAAAGTAGTGGGAGCATATGGATTCATAGAATTGATAGGAGGAAGTGGGAATGCAACCGACCAGTCAGAGATACATGGTCGCAGAAGAGACACAAGACCAGGCAATATGATTGCAAGGTGAAAGAAGAACAGTGGAACGGACCTGGAACAAGTGCACGGATCAAATCCCATGTGAGAGCAGCCAACAAGGCCCCTGGGACCAAGAGATCAATACTGAGGAGAGTGTCAATGCAAGGTGGACTTCACGCTTTGCAGCCAACCAAAGTCCTGCAGAAGAGAAAGAAGAGTCGTCGTCAAAACCCATGGCCAGAGCATGACGGAGGGCAATCAATCATCTCGGCATCTTCGAGCATGAGGGAGGGAGGGCAATCAATCATCTAGGCATCCTTGAGCATGAGGGAGGGCAATCAATCATCAAGGCATCTTCAAAGAGTTGGTTGGAAAGAAGTTACACAGTCAGCTACCAGATCCTCGCCAAATGATGGCCAAACGAAAGAATCAGGGTAGAATACGAGGAGAAAGTGAATCCTGAAACAACTGGAATCACAGCAGACAGTGCATCCAGCTTATCCAAAGAGCAGCCATCCTAATTAACGGCATATTGCTATCCCAGAACCGGACCCAGACGTTAGTTAGCATTGCCATAGGACATGACTGTCATGTTGTGACATTTTGACAGAAACGTGCACGAACTGAAATGGACAAGAATCAGACAACTACATCCTCCCATCTCTCTCCCAACCCCCCATCACTTTCTGACTTCCCCATCCATCCCATCCATCCGATCCATCACCGCCTATCTCCCCCATCTCTCCCGCATGCCTCACCCGTTTTCCTCCCATAATCCAGTCTATCATTTCCCCCGCCTCTCCAATATCTCTGTGATATCTCTCTCCAATCTCTTTGTCACAGCTCCCATCTCCACATCCTCCCACCTCTCTCCCAATCCCCCATCACTTTCTGACTTCCCCATCCCTCCCATCCATCCGATCTGTCACCGCCTATCTCCCCCATCTCTCCCGCATGCCTCACCCGTTTTCCTCCCATAATCCAGTCTATCATTTCCTCCACCTCTCCAATATCTCTGTGATATCTCTCTCCAATCTCTTTGTCACGGTTCCCATCCCGACTCCCACCCTCCTCCACATCACACTCCAACCTGTCTCTTATACACATCTAGATGTGTATAAGAGACAGGTCCTGGACAACCCTAATGTGGACCTTGTTGCTGATCCATGAACAGATGAACGACAGGTCGACGCAGGGGTGCAAGGAAGCAGAATGGGAGGGAGTGTAGGTTAATCCCCAATAGATGCAAAACTGCAAATCATATTGCAATACCCTCCCTGCCACCTACTGGTCCTCTCATCCGCTCCCCCTCCCCCCTCCAACCCCCAACCTTCGCTGTCTTTAACACCGTGTAGCATTCAGTCACCAACTACAGATTTCAAGGTACGATCAGTCCTGCTGAAGATTGATTATACTGAGTATACATTTTACAAACTTACTTATACATTTTACAAACTTAGTACAATTTACAAACTTAATACAATTTACAAACGTATTACAATTTACAAAGCAATACACAGTGGGAAGTTTTATTTTGGAGGGGCGCTGATGGTCTTCCGTTTGGCGAGCGTCTACAGAGTTCATTCGGAAGTATTGGAATTGGGATCGGGGTCGGGTTTGCCCCACCAGTGTTTGAACACAAGCGGTTATCGGGTAGCTGAAAATTCAGGAATGAAAATTCTGAAGTGAGAGTTTTGGGCAGTCTGAAAATCATGAATGGTCCTGAAGTGGTGAAAGGTCCGAAGACCCTGAAAACCACCTGTTTAGGCAGGCTGCATCCTGAAGTGGTGAAGGGTGTCTTGAAGTGGTCAAGTGAGAGTTTTGGGCAGTATGAAAATCCTGAATGGTCCTGAAGTGGTGAAAGGTCCGAAGACCATGAAAACCACCCTTCACCACTTTAGGATGCAGCCTGCCTAAACAGGTGGTTTTCACAGTCTTCGGAGTTTTCACCACTTCAGGACCATTCAGGATTTTCAGACCTGAATGGTCCTGAAGTGGTGAAAGGTCCGAAGACCCTGAAAACCACCTGTTTAGGCAGGCTGCATCCTGAAGTGGTGAAGGGTGTCCTGAAGTGGTGATGAAATATACGACTGTTGTTAACCTTCTCTCTGTTTGAACCCGTGACCAGCCCCTAGAGTTGCCTGTAGAAGGCTGTCGTAGATTTGAGGACTGAGTAGGATTTGAACTGCTTTCCTGTAGAGTAGGAGTCGACGTCTGAGTTGGTAGTAGCTGCTGTAGGTCCGAAAGGTCAACCTCAGTCGTAGCTGCTACAGTACCGAAAATGTAAGTAAAGGTCTAGAGCTTTCCAGGACTGCCCCTTCGAGAGTCTTAGAAGCAGTCCGTTGGCAAGTGGGCAAGTGGGCAAGTGGGTAGACTAACCAAGCCTAGTCAGCGGTACCAGTCCCAGTCGCACCCTGTTCAGTCAGCAAATACCATGTGGGACTGTGTGTACCATGGGCGCGGTGGAAAGGAGCAGACCAGCAGCCAACATAAGTATAAATCAAGAGGCAGCGTCCAGCCATTCATTCATTTTCTGCGTGAGCCATGCGAAAGCGCTGCCTTGGCGTCTTGTGCGAGGTGGTCTACAGATGCCCGAAGTCGAAGTGGGATAAGGAAGAAGATAGAGTGTCCATAGTCAGTAGTGGCGAGCTGCCATAGCCACCATAGGATAGAGTTAGTGTTTCAGTGTGGGAGTGCGTGTGTGTGTAGTACAGAGTGAGTGTGTGTGGAATATTCAGGGAGATCCGGAGTCAAGTGTGTGCGAACAGTTGATGTAAACATTGAGTTGGTGTGTGAAGTAAAGGCTTTCAATCGCCATAGCTATCTTGAAGTGAGCTTGTATCTGAATCATGTGGGCTCCCAGCGCCAGAGTCATTTGCTATCTGTTTGCATGCGTGCAGATTGAGGAGAAGACGAGTCTGATTGCACTTCGGCTTTGGTGTGTTGCCTCCTGCACAACCCCAATCAATATGTTTAAGGCCACTCTCTGCACTCCTACTCAGTCCTGCTTCATGGTCGCGTAAAGTTGTAAACTACCTTCTAACATTCTATAGATTTTGTGAAGATTTAGTATGTACTCGATCTCTTAACTTACTCTGTATTTGGGTATTTGGGTTGAACGGAGAATCAATAAAGAGATGGATTCTGAAATTTTCTGTTGGAATAAAAAATAATAAAATTCAATAAATCATTATATCTAACTGTGCAGGATGTTCATGTATCCAGGCGCTAGATGCCCCGGGTGCCTGGGCCATGCAGGTCCGTCGGGTGCTGCACCGCCGTGTGAGACCTGAGCGAATACTATATTGAAGTTTCCCACAATCTGGTGAGGTGTGTGGCGCTGTAGTTGAGGTCGCTGGCCACCGCCCAGGCAAAAAAAAAGGGGCCTAGGCCACTCTCCTTTCTTTCAAGTTTGCTGGGCAACATCTGGCCAGATTTCGACCAGGACTCACTCAACATGCCAAGACGTCTTTGCTGTGCTGCCAATGAACTACAGCATTGTTTTCCTCTTGGCAGTCTGTGCCTGCTTGACCTGTTTCACTCATTATCTTATTTCCCTTGTCATGTGATAATGATTTGGACAGAAGTCTGTTGGTGAAAGAAACCTACGTACTGTAAATATGGCAGTTTGTCATACTCGGATCACCTCCTCGGTGTACTGATTGCCAATCGGTTCGGAGGCAATTGCAGCCCAGCAACTTACAACAGGTACCAATGCACGCACACACACACACACACACACACACACACACACACACACACACAGAGCGCGCGCGCGCGCGCGCGCGCGCGCGAGAGAGAGAGAGAGAGAGAGAGAGAGAGAGAGAGAGAGNTCTCTCTCTCTCTCTCTCTCTCTCTCTCTCTCTCTCTCTCTCTCCCATCCATACAAACACACACAGCGTGTGCTTGGTAGATACACCTTGACATTAACGATTTCCCTTTTCCCACCCATTCCGTATAAAGCACCTACCTTGAGAAGTTGAGACCCACGACACTCCCCTTCACCCTCCCCTTCTTTTTGGTGCAAAGCATCTCGAGACCCCCCCCCCCCGCCCCCCTCTTTCCTATTTTGCGTCTAAAGAATGTTGCAAGCCCCCCAGCTTTGCAGGCATGGGTGTGGGCCTCGTTTGGGTGTTCACGGACGTGTTCAGCCGACCAGGCACTCTTCGCATGTGTGTTTGCCTTACATGCTCAGGGTTTCAGATAGAAACATGAGTAAAAAGTTATCCGACACACAAGGGTGTATCGACCAGGCATGCCCACTCACAGACAACTGCATATCTGACATCGCACTGACCACTGGTAGCTATGTTAGTATAATTTTAATCACTTTTAATGATTTTGTTTGATTTGAAAGTTGAAATCGACTGCCCCCGCCCCCAACAAAAAAAAAAAAAAAAAAAAAAAGGACTGGCCCCCCCAAGTGACCGTGGATGTAATATCTCGACAGCAATCAACTGACATGGGATGATGGGACCTATAATTGGAACTTCCTAAAATAGTTACCTAAAATAGTTATTTGAGTATGCTGGTTAAAGATGAGTATTCCTGGACCACACATGGTTACCTCAAAGTGAAGAAACATTTACAAAAGCAGTGGTATCAGCAGGGAGTTGCCCCAGCATGGAGAGATCATGACGTAACGTTGAGTATAGCATAAGGTATTAAATTAAGGTCCTCTGATCCTCATTTGACATCTACTGCAAGGTAGTACGAAGCTATGCAAACTCAGTAATGCCTTCTCTCAATAGCTACTACGAGATGCTATTGTGAAAAGACATTGCAAGTAGCCTCTCGCCCACAATGTCATCATGCTATTGAAAGTAGCCTCTGGCACAGCACAGTTGTTATCAGCAGAGTGAGATCTCCACAGGTGTTTCTCCTCCCTTGTCCCTTCTTCTCAGCGTGCTGATGTCTTATCCTTTGCCTCTGTTGAAGTCCAGTCTCCCCATGAAGGCAATCATCGAACTACCATCCCAAACGCAAGTCTTCTTGATCATGAATGTATACATGTTATGTTTCCGGTCTGGTACAGTCATGATGAGGGCGAATGAATTGCATTCGATGGAGTAATCGATGCGGCTCAGAAAGGTAAGGTAAGGACTGTAAGGTTAGGAAAGTTAGGAAGGCCATAATGCTGAAGGGGCAGAAGGGTCGGAGAGGTTAGAGAACGTGCTCTTTCTAGATACTATAGCCATATCTGGCAGATTCGGGCAGCGGATCTGAGAGGGAAGAGAGAGGCATGACAAGCTGACAGTCAATCCTCCACTAAGATGGAGTAATCAATGCTGCTCAGGGGTCCTTCGGCCAGATGGGAGGGAAGCGTGGAGTGTCATGATTGTAACGTTTATTCTGACTTGCCGGGGGAATAGGAACCGGACTGATGCTCCAGAACAGACAGTCCAACAAACAAGCCAAGAAACAAACAAGTAACCTCAGCAATCGACCCCGGCAGGTGCTACGACTGCTAAACCCTCCTACAAATAAAAGCCTATGTCGGCCCTCCCGAGGCTACCTCGCCTCAGTTCTATCTGACTACCACTCCCAGTCCCAGCATTTAACTGCAGACTCTATTGGCCTCCTGCGGCCCATTCCCCACCGAGATAGCCAGGTTGGTTGTTCTGATGGAGTTGGGAGTGGGACCTAGGAGGTGAGCGTCTAGTGCTTATGGTATATGGGGTCGTATTGTTTGGGTTCTTTAAGTTGGTGGTTTGTGTTATATTGCCCGGGGGGAATGGGAGTTGTTGGTTAGCGGGGCCCAGGACCGCAGTCTTGGTGTTGGTTATGGGCTTGCTGCAAAATCGGTACTGGTATAGATAGTGAGGGAAGGACTGGGCTACGGGGAATAGTTCACAGAGGTGGAATGGTAAGATACTCTGAGCGAGCTACTCTGTGGTTCTTTTCTTCCTTCTTCTCTCGTTGAGGCTACTCCAGCTGGCAGTAGGATAGGTAGGAGGAATTGGTTCACTACAAAGCGAAACTGGGTAATGCTCCCAGAACCGGTCTCTATGTGAGGTGGCCGGCCTCTCCCCTTATTTGAACGAGTACATAATGTGGTGTTCTTTAAAAAAAAAAAAAAAAAGGTACCGGACTGATGCTCCCCAGAATGGAAAGGAGCCAGGACCATAAGGTTCTGTTATTGTTAAAAATAAAAAATAAAAAGAAGAAGAAGAAGAAGAAGAAGAAGAAGAAGAAGAAGAAGAAGAAGAAGAAGAAGAAGAAGAAGAAGATGGTAGTGCATGAACCAACGGCGGACGAGATCAGACGTATGCACAAACGAAGAGGGGAAGATGGGTGGAAGAAAGAAAAGGCAAGATGGATGCAAGAGAAAAGAGGAAAGATAGATGCAGTCCTTCACGGCATCCGTTACCATTGGAACAATACAGAGACGATTACCATGGTCCCTGCGCAGGGAGGACTCGCATAAATCGAGAAATGGTCCAATTTTTTTGTAACAAAAACAAGGAATAAAGGAAAAAGATAGATGCAAGAAAGAAGAGCAAAGATGCATGCAAGAAAGAACAGGGAAGATGGGAGATGGAAGATGGAAGATGGAAGATGGAAGATGGAAGATGGAAGATGAAGAGGAGTATGCGAAAGAAGTCCTGCTCACCTGATAACTCCGGTTGTGAGTGTGTGATCCAGTCCAAACTGCACCGAATCTCAAGTATGAATCAACCAAGAGGCAAAAAGATGACCACACCAACGTGTCAGATAGACTGTACCGTACTCTTTAGCACAAGAATGGCCGTATCTATCTGAAATAACAAGGGAGCCAATCAGATAGACAGCAGAAGAAAACCTTTAGACAAAGCGGGCCGTATGGCAAAATTATAAAGTGGCAACTGCGCTGGCATGCTATGAAGTCTTTTCTGTTGACGTCACCTCAGTAAAGTAATGAAAAAAAAAAAAGCTGAGTCAAAATTATATGAAGTTAATTGAACTGTAATTTTAACGGTTGTATTCTGTTTTGTTTTTTTTTTTTAATCAAATTACAGTTCAGTCAACACACTGGAAGAGAAGTCGTGAGCAAGCATGACAGAGCAAGAGAAGACCTAAAGGTGGGAGAAGGTATACAGTGGAGGGAGAGAGAGAGAGGGGCAGTAGTAAGTCACCATCACCATAAACAGCACTATAATATAGCAACAACTTCAACAAGGTCTTCATCTTCATTTAACATCCATGTCATATATATTTGATGAGTTGCAGTCTCTACTTCCAACAGATGTCATTGGATCAGCAGTACCTCTGGCCCTGTCTCTTGTGCTTTTCATCAGTCGGTTCATGCTTCCAAGTTGGGTCTTCGTCTCTCATCAACATTCTTCAACATGTTCAATCATGCTCCGGGCATACCCCAATCACATTCCGATCATCCTTTTAACAATCCTGGCCAAACCATGGTCTAATCCGAGTCTAATCCTGGTCTAATCCTGGTCAGATCCTGGTCAGATCCTGGTCCAATCCTGGTCAGATCCTGGTCAGATCCTGGTCAGATCCTGGTCCAATCTCAGGTCCAATGCCAGCAGAGGTCGATCTGGAGCCAATGACAGAAATGCACAGTGCTCTGCACATTGGTTCCAACTGGAACCACTGTTCTTTTTAAATGTCACAGTGCTCAGCACTTGGGCCGATCTAGAGCCAAGAACAGAAAAATGCACAGTGCTAACCACCTTAGACAGCACGACTCAGCAGAATTTTGTTTTACTCTAGGAAGATTTTCATGACCGGCCGGTCCGGACCGGCCGGTCTTCCGGGCAGAATTTTGTTTTACTTTAGGGTGACCCGGTCATGGCAAAAAAAAAATAAAAAAAAAATTGTGGTAGGGTTTTTCCGCGCTCTCCGAGAGGAGCCCAAATCCGGGCTCTTTTCTTTTTTTGAGTGTTGGCTGTCAAGGGGGGGAAAGGGGAGTGTAAATGAATTTTGAAGGGGCTAAAGGGGTTTAAAGGGGGGTGCCTTAGTGTGATATGGTTATTTTGTTTTTTATCTTTAGTTCTGTGAGGAATTCTGATATGACCCTCAGCCAAAAGTTGTTTGTATTGCAATTCTACACAACATAGTTTCTTTTCAGATTTTTTTGGATTTGTTTTTTTTTTTTTTTTTTTTTTTTTTT